CACTCACACTCTCACACACTTTCTCTCTCCAGCAGCATCACGGACTGAGTGTGTGTAAGTCATCAGCCGAACAATAATAAAGACATTCAGGGAAAAATTATCAAACAAACATAAATCACTGTTTTATCCCGAAAATTTCTCAACATTTAAAAAGATAAAATCTATTTAATCAAATGCATTTGACCTTATTAAATCAGGACCTACATTAAAGTAGGTGTCGCTTTAGTCCGTGCAACAGAATGTACAGAATTGTTCTATAGTTTCAAACTTGTTCCTAATGCAGTTTATAAAATGCAAAGTGACTTACCTTTTCTAAACCAAAGTCTGCGTTCGGTCCAAACGCATGGGCTCCGCTTGAGGAGCGTCTCTCTCTCTCTCTCTCGGTGCAGCAGTCTCTCTGTAGCACGCGCTGCACGCGAGACGAGACGCGACGCGACGCGACAGAAACGCGACGCGTCAGAGGGAAGCAGCCAATAGCAGCAGCTGCTCTGTGTGGAGCATCTCGAGCAGTGCTTGACATGAGCCCAGGGCTAATGCTCCTGAACTGTGGGGTCACTGTATAACTGATGTAGGCTTGTGTGGTCATTTCATTCGAAATATTTCCAAACGTGTTAACTATATCAGGAAATATCTCGATTCTCAAATATGTGTAAGTAAATGCGTTTTGCACCTTTATAGATTATGTTATTTGCCTAATAGTGTAATCTCTAAACGGCAAGACTTATTTGACATCAAAACAAAAATGTAAAAAATTCTGTCTAATCACTCTCGCGGTACTTTGATGTCCCACACAGAACAGTCTGTCCAGTGCTGCTTCAAGTCCAACACCTATTGTGTTTTATTAGGAGATGCACAACAGTTCTTCTGTGGCTTTATAGCTAATATTTTCACCTACACAATTTAGCAAAATCAGACAATATTGTGCCTAATATAAACCACAATATTAACTTCTTCTTAATGAATTGTTGTAAATAAATATCACATTTGGAACTGGTCAGTGCTCAAAAAATGCTGAGAAATCACTTCATGTAGCCCCAAGAGTGATTACTGATAAACTGTCATTTGTCTTTCAAATGTAGTGAAGTTAAAGTCATAAGTTTCCAGAAAAATATATACTCAAGTAAAGTACAGATACTCAAAAAGTGTACTTAAGTACAATACTCAAGTAAATGTACTTAGTTACTGTCCGCCTGTGATTAGTACACATGTAGTTTCTGACGAGAGAATTCAGTCAGCAGCGAGTGCACGAAACACCGCGCTCAGCGATGACTCATCTGAACGCCTCTGATTGGTCACTGCGTTCATCAGCTCAACAGACTCGCGTGTGATTGGTTAATGCATATGCTGTAAACAACGGCTCTGGCTCGCGATGAGGGAACAGTGCTGAGCTGTAGAAACATATATAACTCATCCTCTGGTTTCAGTATTTGAAGAGTCAGCATAGAAAGAATTCATCTTTAAAAACATGTCAACATATTTCAGTGTATATTAATTAATTATTATATTATTTATGTTATATTACTTTACATTGTTGATGTATTTTCCTTAGCGTTTATTTCCTTGCATCTGTTGTACTGTAGATTTGCCATGTTCCTAGTAAATGTGTAAATAATACATAAATAAATAAAGGGGTCAGTGTCCGATCCACTGATCTATAATGAGATCATTATTATTTATAGCTCAGTGTCCTGTCACAACTCTGCAGTCATATACAGTTTCACACTAATAATATTATACAGCACCTTTGCTCATGGTATCTTACTGAAGAATAAAATACATACACAACCACAATACAAAACAGTAAATACATAAGTAATAATAAAAATGAAATATAAACATAAACATAAAAAACAAATAAATAAAAAGTTAACAAACATCTCTTTTTTTTAATAAATAAATGAATCATAAATAAAAAAAAATTAAAATACCTAAAATGAGAAATTACACATAAAATGTCAACTTCAAAGAATACTCAGGAGGTAGCCTTACATCAGGCATGCTTTGTTCCATCAATACAGTAGTTAACAGTTTCAAATCAACACAAAACATCCTCAGATTGGGCAAACTATCAGTAACTTTACATTTGTGAAGATGAAATGTGCCACAAAGAGTTAACAGTTCTAATATATCATCCAGCTCCTTTGATCCTGATTCCCAAATCAAAAATACTGCATTCATTTTCATCTGCATTGGTCCTTTTTTGTGATACGCCTACTTCCGGTGAGCAGCTTCCGGCGCGTGAAAACTGTCATTGGTAAGAGTCTAGTTTGTCTTCTTTCTATCTAGAATTACTCAAATAATAACAAAAGTAATCTCGCAGAAAATCTATCAAAGAGACTGAGGACAGTGTTTATCATCGGAGCTGGTCAGAGATAGCGCCTCATATTAGCCATCTTCAGCGCTAACACGATGATGTCTAGATAGTCCGCTTACTAGTGTTCGAGAGTGTGTGTGTGTGTGTGT